TTTTAACCTTATGGTTGGTAGTCGGTGGTGGTACTTCTCAAACGTAGTTTCGGGTCGATTTCGGTTTCGAGTGTTTTGAAGATTTTGAAGAAATTAGATGAATTAAACGAGCGATCGTCTCGAAAGTTTTAGCTCGGAAGGGATAAGATCGATGTAATATCGAAGGTTTATAACGAATTATTTTATTGAATTCTGTTCTACGAATTTCTGAAAATACTATGGATATTAATATTTAGGTTAAGTCAATGATTTGGGATATTATTAGTGTAACAAGTAATAACAGATAAGTACAGGGATCGTTTGGTTTTTTTTTCTCTTATCCTTTGATATTTGCTTCAATTCTAAGTGCAATAAAGTTCCCGACGTGTAATTAGAAAATATCAAATAACGATAATTTTTTTTTTAATTACTTTATTATATCGTATCCGAGATAACGGGAATGAAATAGAATGTTAAAAATCCAGCGTGGATGTTTGCACGACACGCGATTAAATTTGATATTCTCCCCTCTCCCCCTTCCACAATATAATCTACTTCAAATATTTGTCGTTGTAATTGAACGACACAGTGTTCCCCACTTATTTCTCTCGCATTGGAAAACGCGATAATTTCACAATTTTCTCGATTTAATCGGTGAACACGAGAGAGATGAGAATTTAGGGCAAGTGGAAGGGCTCGTTGTACACGTGATACCCATAAGGCGATGGTATGCGAGCGGTATCACGGTTGGAGTCGTAAAAATTCTATCTAACAGCATCCGGTCCCGACCAGATACCTCCCCGGGGATAATATAGAGATTAGGCGAACGTGTCAACGGCCTAACCAACCGTTTTCCTCGCCTTCTCGGCTGGAAATCCACCGACCAGAGTCGACTCAGAGTATTAATAATAAGAATCGATGCATTTTTTTCGTTCGATCGAAAAAATTCTTTTTACACGATCTTTTTGACGATCGTGGATAAAGTTAACCTTTCTTAAAAGAAGAATTGGGGGAATGTCGTTTCATTCTTTGTGAATATTCGTATCAAAAATTGTATCAAAAGAAAAAAGTCTATGATTTTCATTGTCGTAGAATGTATTAATATTGCAAGTGCAAGATGAAATTGATATAATTGAAAATTCGCGATTTAGGTAGCAAGGTTATTATTATAAATGACAATTTCGAATGGAGATGTATGTATTTCGTATAATTTTTGATCCTTTTGATAGATTTTGTGTTGAATATTAATTTGGCCTGTTCGATTCCTTGGTTTCATCTGTTTTGAAACGTTTATTTCGTCGAAGATTTGTCAAAAGTATATAAATTTACACGAATATATTGATATTCGAGTCTCGTGGAATTTTTGATCGAATACCATTTCACAATTGGTGGATATTCTTATTTCATAATTAGAACGGATGAAGATGATACGAAATTGTTGTGAATTGATTTTTGAAAGTTTCTATTTCTAGCGAAAATTGGGTTGCTTTCGATTTGAGGTTGTGCAGCGAGTGGATTATCGGTTGATTTCGGAAATTTGCCGTTCACAGCGGAAATTAATTCCAGGAACAGTTATGTCCTATTCCAATTTCAGATTTTAAACCGTTTCTCTCCTACTTTTTCTAGCAAATGTTTAACTTTCGATAATAATAATAAAGGCGCGTCTCGTTTCACATCATTTCGATCGGAGAAGTAAAAATTTCTTCTCTACTTCAATTTTTCAGCTACAAGAATATTCATAAAAATAATTATCATTTATTCAATCCCCTAATAAAATATATTTTAAACTCATCATCGCTTCAAGTATCATATTCACGGCTTAAATTTTGGAAAACTTTATTCAAATCTGAATCGTGTCGCGTAAAGATTCTTCTCTTTTCGAAAAAATTTTGGGATAAAAACCGATACTTTTGAGAAAAGTAAGAAAGAGAATTCGAAATCGCGAGGTGCATGAAACAAAGAAATGCTTAAATTAGTTCGAAGAAAAAAGTAGTAGCGTATGGTTCGGGTTCTATGCCCCCGTCGGGGATTATTGAAATTCATGGTAGCGTATCGAGACAGGAAATGAAGAATTACGGAACAATCGATCAGCGTCTACCAACTGACCTCTTTAACTGCTTTATCAAGTCGGCTGTAGTCGGATTAGTACACTGTAGTGGCGCTGGCAGATACGCGCAAGAAGTTTGTTCGATAGAAAACGGCCGCTTCTGTATAATTGAGTTTTGAAATGCTCCAATTGCATAATCGACCACTTCATAGATCGTTTCTGTGCTTAGAAATTCAATCTTGTTCCGACGCAACTTATCGAATCGGATTTATTATTTTTGAGAATTTTATATATATATTTTTCTCTTTCTCTTTTTAAAGGTTCGAATTCTTTTGCGTTGTTTGAAAGTAGTCGAACGATTCCAATGAAGAAAATGATGAGCGCGTGGTTTAAAAAAAAAGGATCGATTAATTTTACGCAGAATAAAGTGCAGATCGAATCGGTAAAACTCGAGTGCACGGTTCTTCATAGCTTAACGTTAATCGACGAAGAGCGAGTATGTGGTGAAAGTGAGATGAGAAGGCGTAACATTGACCTCGTGAGCATCAAATGATCAGCCAAATGGATAAAGGAAACGAGAAAAGGAAAGGAAGAAAAGAAACACGAGGAATAATAAAAATTTCACGAGATAAGGATACAATTAATTTGTAGCAATTTCTTTTTCTTTATTATCTCTTATTCAAACGATCAAAAATATCGAGATCTTTCTGCTGTGCGAAATCATATCTCTCGATAAACATTTCATTCGGAATAAATGTAAAATTAAGTTAAAATTAATACAAATTTTCAATAATATCGATTGTTTTATTAAAAACAATTGTATTTGGTGTTTTTATTCTTTTATAATGAAGCAAGTTTAATGAAAATTGGAAACAACGATATTTACGCATTAAAGTGAATTATTAAAGTGGTTTGATAAATATAGCTTCGTTTTAAATAAAATATCGAGTATAATCGAGTTAAAGATATTTGAAATAATTTATTCCTATTTATACACTTTTTTAAAAATTATAAATTCAATTCAAACATCCAAGATTAAAAATTACATCTCAACATCCAAAAACAATAGCCATCCTTATTTCTTCACTTTCATTAGAATTCTTCTATTCACGCGAATTCCAATGAATTTTATCGATTATTTCGTTAAAAATAAATTATTACACAAGATATCATTGAAATCCTCTTTTCGAATAGAAAAATTAAAATCCCAATTCACACCCTTTCGAACTGTTTTCGCAAAATCGTGCAACGGAACGATAATTCGCACGATTTCTCGGACGATTAAGTTAAGCTCGTTTCTAATTAATCGACGGGTTAAAAGTTCAGGGAGAGAGGTCCTCCCTCGGTTTGGTATCAAGCGATAGATCACGCTTGTAAAACCTGTTATTAGACGTAGGGCGTAGTCGGATGGCGTAGCGTTACTCCAAGCTCATTTACATCATCTCGATATCCAATTATCGGTTACTTAAGCAGCTCTCTTAGTCAACGATGAAAGCGCGCGTATACTTACTTGATGCATAGAAAAGTTGCAGCCTTATCGCGAACGTTCGATCGAGAAGGGAGGTGTTCGGTGTTATTAATGGAACAATTAGTATCACGGGTGTTGAGATGATATCGCTGTATGTTTGACTCCTTAATCGGCCAGTGGATCGCCAATTCCTCTATCCACGGTGAATGTCAGCCGTGTTAGTCGATTGTGGGATTCGATTGTAGGAAGGAAAGTAGCAAAGTGAATTGATTCCTGCAACTTGGTTACAAGATGGAGAAAAAAGAACCTAACTAATTTTTAGAATCGAAATTATATCCTGTCGTAAATGCTTGAATTCCTATCTTAATAAGCTTCGACTCGATCAAATCGAACTTAAGCCAAGCTTAAATAAATCAAACGAAAATTTAATTTGCACTCGCCATTTTATTATTACATTCTAGGTTGAAATCCTTTCTAATTTAATTAAGCTTCGATTAAATCGAACTTCAGGCAAACTTAGAAAAACGAGAAGGGAGGTGTTCGGTGTTATTAATGGAACAATTAGTATCACGGGTGTTGAGATGATATCGCTGTATGTTTGACTCCTTAATCGGCCAGTGGATCGCCAATTCCTCTATCCACGGTGAATGTCAGCCGTGTTAGTCGATTGTGGGATTCGATTGTAGGAAGGAAAGTAGCAAAGTGAATTGATTCCTGCAACTTGGTTACAAGATGGAGAAAAAGAACCTAACTAATTTTTAGAATCGAAATTATATCCTGTCGTAAATGCTTGAATTCCTATCTTAATAAGCTTCGACTCGATCAAATCGAACTTAAGCCAAGCTTAAATAAATCAAACGAAAATTTAATTTGCACTCGCCATTTTATTATTACATTCTAGGTTGAAATCCTTTCTAATTTAATTAAGCTTCGATTAAATCGAACTTCAGGCAAACTTAGAAAAACGTCGCCATCCTACATTTTATTATTATTACATTCTAGGAACTGGTTACAAGATACGGAGAAAGAAGGACATTTTTAAAATCATATCGAAATTACGTCCTGTTGTAAATGCTTAAATTCCTATCTCAACTCGCGATGTAATTAATTAAGCTTCGATTAAGGCAAACTTAGAAAAATGTCGCCATCCTTACATTTTATTATTATTACATTCTAGGAACTGGTTACAAGATACGGAGAAAGAAGGACATTTTTAAAATCATATCGAAATTACGTCCTGTTGTAAATGCTTAAATTTCTATCTCAATTCGCGATGTAATTAATTAAGCTTCGATTAAGGCAAACTTAGAAAAATGTCGCCATCCTACAATTTTATTGTTTCTAAGAACTCTTGATTGGCAACCTTTTAAACAAAATCGTAACTTACCAAATATCTATTTTACTTACAATTACGATTAACCGATACTCTCGACGATCATTTTAATCATCGTTCCAGTCCACGTTCGTAGCCTCTACCAACCTCTCCTCTTAATTTTCTGTTCCCAGCACGCGAACAACGTGCGCAAATCGGCGGCTGAATACGTGGCGCGGCGTCAGGCGCGCAAGATCTCGATGACACGATCGATGACCTCGTCGCTGGCCCTGCCGATGAGCCAGCTGAGCGACGTGGCCTTCCTGCCGAACGCGAAGGCCGGCACCTTCTTCGCCCGCGACAACGTGTCCAACTTTATCGGCTGGTGCCGCAACAGCCTGGGCATTATCGAGTGCCTGTTATTCGAGACCGACGACCTGATTATGCGAAAGAACGAGCGACACGTGATCCTGTGTTTGCTCGAGGTGGCGAGGCGGGGCGCGAAATTCGGTATGCTGGCGCCGATGCTGGTCCAGATGGAGAGGCAGATAGATCGGGAGATAGCGGCGGAGAACAAGGCGGCGAACGGGGCGCATGGGAATTCGGGGAACGAGGAGAGCGACGACGAGTACGCCGATATGCAGCAGGAGGAGCCGTGCCTCATATACGGGCCCCAGCCACAGATCGTCACCAACGATCTGAAGAGCTTGGACGAAATGGTGAGTTTTCTTCCCTTACTTTTGCCGGAGCTGAGATTTGTCTTATAATGAAAATTCGTAAATCAATAGTTGTTACTAATGGTTATAATTGCATCGAGATGAAATCAGACAGAAATATTATTTTCAATGTTTCTGAGGTTTGCAAATACTGTAATGGAATTGGTTCGAACATGAGTTTGATTTTTCGTTATTGAATAACGAGACTGACGATAGAGAGAAGTTATTGGAATGTTATTGGAATTGTAAGGTTTATAACAACATTTTATCGCGATATCTGACGAAAGGGTGCGTCTTGGTAATTATTTTATTATTAAAACATCACACGAAACGACAATATTCAAGAAATATCCTTTCTTTGTACAGGTACATAAAATTTTTAAACTAGCTAAGAAACTCATCGAACGAAGAAACGGAGTTGTTGATTCGAAAAGCAACGTGTTAAGATTATTGGATATTATATTTAAAAAAAGGGTAGAAGAATATTGAAAAATCAAATTTTAAAAATATCGGTGTAAATGATGAATTTAATTATTTTTATCTATGATGCTAGAACGAAGAATGATTCGAAAAGATCCGAGAAATCTGGATTTGTATTTTTAAAAACGTGCGGCGCGACTGTAATGTTCCCAGACTATGAAAATAACTCGCACCCTTAGCTATCGGAGCGGTATTTATGGCGTTACTCCCCGCTGACCGTGAATATCACGAGATGAGGAATAAGAGAGCGGTTATTCGTATTCCGGCGTTGAAAGGCAAAAGAATCGCGCCGTAATTCGTGTTCCATAATTCATCGTGCATCGGTGGCCACGTTCTAAAATACATCTTTCGTCGAAGATTTTGAAACGTCCTGTAGTTTTTATTCCAGTTACGTGCAAAGATTCGTGCAAATAATTGAAAAAAAAGTTAGCTCGCATGCAAAAAAAAAAAATACGTATTTTGAAACGCAACAAGATTTCTGAATATTATTTTTACACCCATAAAATCGATTCGATTCCTTTCTTTACAATTTTTATATTCTTTTCCACAATTCTCACAATTTTCCGTCTTACATCTCTTAAAATTAAAATCCATCTTGATTATATAAATTTTCACTCGATCGATAAGCGACAATCAGCGAAATAGAAATTTCCAATTTCGAATTCAAAGGATCCCTGTATATACGTACACGTCACCTGTGCACGCGTGTATCTGTCAGATTTCAAATCGCAATGATGTACGATCGTCGCAGGTGGTCTAACGGTTTTTCAAAAAAAAAAAAAAAAAGAAAAAAGCAAAAAAGAAAAGAAAAGAAATATGAATAGATCTTTGACCGAGCAACGAGCGAGAAACGGACGGTTTAAAATGTCGTCTTGATAACTCTCTTCCGCTCGCAACTCGTGGACTCGTAAATCGTGTTAGCATGACACCGAAACGAAAATCGTCTCGCTTCCATCTCGAGCCGCGTTTTCCACCGCTAAATGGATTTAAACGGTCACTAAATCAGCCTGGTAAACGTAACGCGTCACGTGGGCAGAACAAGCGTAATTGCCCGATCTCGAAACCGATTTCGTTTTCGTTTACCGATCGTAAATAGAGTTAGAAGGCGCCCATAGTCCCATAGTCGTGTCGTGTTACGTCGTGCGGGAATCGCTCTCCACTTTTCACGCGCTCTACCGTCGGCCACGCGTGTTATTAGGAGGAGGAGGAATTTCGCGGATAGAAGTTTCCCCGAACGGCCGCCAGAGAGCAATTTATAGCCGCATTGTGAGTCACTCGTAATACCGCGGCTAGTTCGAAACTTCAAATATGGGGATATAATGCTGTATTATTGAATGAATCGCGTGGCTGGTTTATATTTCATTTATGCATTAAAAGCATCGATTGAATAAACTTGATGAAATGCAAAGATGGACGAGTTTTGAACGACGATTGATCCACGGTGTGAATTCTTAACCTTTTCATGCAGTGCTCGATCGTCGCCGTTTTATGCCTCACAGTTCGAGTTGTGTATTGAAAAAGAAATTGATGATAAAAACGAAATATCGATGACATTTCTAGAGAAAGACACTCGTACGAGGATACGTTAAAGAGGATTTTAGGTTCTTAATGTTACTTAATTTAAAATAATTCGTGATAAAATTAAATTCTTAACGATCTTTCATTTATTTCTTCTCGATTTTACATCTCGTAATAAATCTGCGTGTTCAGCGTGTTATATCTCTATAATTTATATCGCATCGAGAAAAAAATTGAATAACTTGAATAACAAACGATGCAACTTGTTTCTCACGGTTTGTAAAAGTAAATTTTTTCCCCAACAATTAAAATAACAAAGCTGGTCCATTTTCCTGCCCACCTTTTGTGCAGCTATCCGCGCTATGCGCTTTGAAACACGCTTAGGCATCCGAGGGATTTAGCCAGTCGTTGTTTGAACCGAGTCGACCTCGGACCACGCTTGCCCCGCTTGAATAGGAAAAGAGCAATCTGCTGATACATCCTCCCAAGAATTCATACACCGGCTCCTCGAGATCTGACGCGTTATGCTTAACGGGTTCCAGATTTGCAAATAACTCGAGAAGAAGTCGACTTTAAGTTGCTTTAAATGTGAAAATATATGTACACGGTATATAAAACTGTTGAGAGATTATTTTAAAAAAGATACTTTTTTTTTAAATTCTTTCTTAGAATCAAAGTGGTGAAGTATATAGAAATATAGAAATTAAAAATGAACCGACTTGTCAGTTCTTTCTTTTTGGATTTAAAAAAGGAACAATATGTTAGAGTCAAAATAGGAATGTAAATAGGATAAATTTCTTTTTAATATTCCCTAATAATCTTTAGATTAAGAATTATAAGTAGGCATCTGAAACTAGTTGCTTTTATAATCACATATGTATCAATTATCGATAATCATTGAATAATTTTAATCTTTATACGATTGACAAATATTCTTCTTTCACCCCTGAAAACTAAATCATTCGATCCTACTTCAACGCTCAGAAACTCAATCAAACATGACATGATAAAATTGAGTAAGAAAGAAGAAAACAACTCTATTAAATTAAACTTCTCATTAAGTCTAAAGGTGTGTCCATAAGAATTCCACGATCACCACTACCACCAGTCTAGAAAGAATATTGTTCGCTGATTCCCAGTGTTAGACGCGATAACGCTAGGGAATTTTTCGCATGGCGGTTCGCAATGGTCGTTGTTCAACGAGGCTGCGCGAAAAAATCCACCATGTTTTCCACCGTGTTTAAACCGGAACTAACGGCGTCTGGCTGCTCGAACGCGACCTGGAGAGGCCTGGGCTGCGTGTGTTTTCGAAAGCGACAAGGAACGCTCGTTAATTTGCCCCATCGGAACGAATACAGGCCTCGCGCTTTTCTTTTCTCTCTGTTAGATCTGGGCTGTTGTTGTTTCTGTCGAGATTCGATACATCCTCTCGTATGCTCGAGTATAAGGGAAATAATTGGTAGAGGAAGATTTCGCGAACAACGAAACGTAAATAGAAAGTTTGGCGAGCAACGCTTGTTGCCATTGGTGGAATCGAATATTCGATTGTTCTATCTCGTGTTACAAACGAATTCAACAGATGGACGGGCAATCAAGATTTGTCTAAATTGTTGTTGTTTATTAAAAATTAATTGGTCAATGAAATGTCGGATATAATTTAGATTGTAAACTGAGAAACAAATTCTGAGTTTTTTTTAATTAATATTCTTTTCTTATCCTATACAAAGTTAGGTTAAAGAATGGCAAATTTATTTCTCTCTTTTTTTTCATAGCTTTACTTTCTAAAATTTGGAATATTTAATGCAACTTTCTCGTTGATTTCGGGAAAAATTTCACATTTTTACGGATCGCATAATACAATTAATCCATCATAAAGGAAAATCTTCTCGTTATTTTTTTTTCATTATTCCTTATTCCAAACACATACGAAACGAGATTTTTCCCGACATTCACCGATCGGAAAACTTTCGAGAATTGTCTGCAAAAACGTGTTGTTTGCAACAGTTGAAAGGCTGGATGGAGCCAAGTTGGCACGAATTTGCATTACAACACGGGAAACGATTTCTTATGGACGAAGGATCGTATACGGAATTACAGCTGCGTTCGTCCACCTCGCGATTTATCCGCACGAATACAAACAGCATTTCTCGACTGCTATGCGTTTCATAAGAAATTTGCACAAGTCGATCATTTCATCGCGGAAACGTTTCTGTTTCCATCGTAGGAAGATACCGTGACGAATAATTGAATTCGATAAATTCGCAATGGATTCCAGTTTTTCCATCAGCGTGAAATCGTAATTCGTTGGAAATAATATTTTTATAAGGAGTTGCATAATTGATGGATTAAAAGAGCTTTTTAGCCTGTATATATTTTCGTGATAAATCGATTTTACGAGGATGGTATTTCGTGTTCACAAAATTTTCGAAAGCAATATAAAGGTGTGTAAAAATTTAAGGAATGATTAAAAAATTAAAAGTTGATAAAATGTATTCGTTAAATCATATTTTTCAAGTTTAATCTAATTTTGGATTAAGTAAAGCTAGATAGGATATATTCTTGTTTCTTTTATTGTGGAAGTAAATTAAAAGTGAAATGAGATAAGTCAAATAGATTTGGATTAATTGAAAATAACGAATGGATCGATTCGTTTAGATGTTAAATAGAAATAGATTAAAAAATTAAAAATTAAGAGAATAATTTTAAAAGTCTGACTAAATTATAATATATTAATCGAAAATTCTAATAGCTGAATAACTAAAAATTATAGATTATAATTCGAGTCTTTGTGGGATATTACGTAATAATCGAAACTATTTCAACGAATTTCAAAGCGTTACTTTATACTTCGAAAATATGCCAAATTCTATTTTTAGATCAGAAAGAATCGTCAATAACTCATTGTTTCCGGCTAAGACACGAGTGAAAACCTTTAAAAGTATTAACAGCTACGTAAACAAGAGGGCTTACGTAATCATGCAGAATGTGTATCGCTCCTGCAATAG